AAGAAAGATGGCTGGTTTGTTAGGCACCCATAAAGGATGAATGACATAATTAGTAGAATCAGCAAATCAGAGCACAGTATGTATATACATACAAATATACATATACATACGTACACACACACACACACACACACACACACACACACAAAAATCCTTATACGTAGACAATAATCACTTGTCTCCCAAATCACCCCATCCATTGTCTCCCTTCACTCTCTTGCATAATTTATTTCCCCCAGATTTTGCCAAAGAGCAGAATTTGTGTCTTATTCATGTTTGTTTCTCACTTCCCCACTCCTGTTCTCCCCAGCATCTACCTAGAACCATTTTTACATACAGAAAGAAATAAAACAAGAATTATTTAATATAAAACAAAATAATCATACTACAGATTGATTAAGGTTTCTAATTTTTTGTACCTTTTGTTAAAAAGAGAAACTTGACATCACATAAATGGAAAAATTTCTACCCATTTCCAAGACAACACAGAAATTTCACTTTAAAATTCCTGAAAGTCTCCCTAAACAGTTCTATACATATTTGTATCTGGGAGTATATGTAAAGTTCCTGTCCCAATCCAGAATGATTTTCAGATTAGACACTTCTTATAGTTTGTACTAACCAATATGAACTTAGTAAGAAGCAGAAATCTCTGATTTTGAGCTGCTACCATCTACCCACATCACAAATCCCTGATAAACTGTTTATTTCCTGAGGACAATATGTGCATAGCAGTATCAAAAAGCTATGGTGTAGCACAGGAAATCAGTGTTCACCCTACTGGAAATAAGATTCAATTGTTGCGAAATGGTGTCTAAACAGTATCAGACACATTATATTCACTTCTCTAGGCTTCAGGGACAGTGTAAGTTAGATAAAGTGATAAATGAGCAGTAAAGCATAGAGATTAAGAAGTTAGGCAACTACTGCAACTCACCAGGTAAGTTATTTTAGGCTAACAACATAAATTAAGTCTTAGTTTTCTCAATGGTAAAATGGGGATTACTCTATTTACCTCACAGCAGCCTTTGGGAGGCTTAAGTAAGATGACCCAAGTCCAGGATGCAGCATGGTTCCTAGCACACAATAAATGCTCAGTGAAGCATAATGAATGATGTTAAGAAGGAAGATGCTAGTGGCGCCTGGGTGGCTCAATGGGTTAAGCCACTGCCTTCGGCTCAGGTCATGATATCAGGATCCTGGGATTGAGCCCCACATTGGCTCTCTGCTCAGCGGGAAGCCTGCTTCCCTTCCTCTCTCTCTGCCTGCCTCTCTGCCTACTTGTGATCTCTGTCAAATAAATAAATAAAATCTTAAAAAATAAAAAAAGAAGAAGGAAGATGCTAGAAACATGTTCAGGTAGTCGTTGACGAAGAGATGGAACAAATGACCACAGCTACTCAGGTTGCTAGACAGAGAAACCAGAAATCATAAATAAATTGAGATAGAACCTGAGGAAACAGCCAGGCAGGCTTTGACACTCTCCCAAGGGAACTAAGCTACAGTGATAATGAGACTTGCTCACCCTATTTCTCATCATATAATATTTCCATTTTATCAATTGTCTCAATACTTAGAAACCAAAATAGTAATTAGTAATAAAATTTTCAAGATGGGAATCAAGCCAGTAGGGAAGATAGTTTCCATTGTTTCTTGATATTGCTCAAATGATACCAAAGATCTATGTTTCTATTTTGACTGTAAGTAAAACTACCATCCTATACACAAAGTTCATGTTTGATAGGACTGAAACAAATGTTAAACCACCCCAAACACACATCAAGTTGCACATACCTTAGCAAAACCCAAGGCTAGTCTTAAAAATCAGCTTATGTACATAAACAGATAGCAGAGACATTAAGATGAGCAAGAATAAGGTCATTAGTAAGCGCATTTTGAAAAAAACTAAAACACTTCCTTAAATAAATATATATATTTTGGGGTACCTGGGTGGCTCAATTGGTTAAGCATCTGACTTCGGCTCAAGTCATGATCTCAGAGTCCTGGGATCGAGTCCCACATCAGGCTCCCTGCTCAGTGGTGAGCCTGCTTCTCCCTCTCCTGCCACCCTGCTTATGCTCTCCCTCTCTCTCTCAAATAAACAAAATATTTAATAAATAAACAAAGAAACAAATAAATAGGGGTGCCTGGGTGAATCAGTTTGTTAAACGTCCAACTCCTGATTTCAGCTCAGATCATGATCTCAGGGTGCTAAGATTGAGCCCCATTAGAAGTCAGCTTGGGATTCTTTCTCCCCTCCCCCTGTGCATTCTCTAAAAATAAACAAAATCTTTTTAAAAAATATTTTAGTATATATTATAAGTAGCATATCTATCTGTGTGTTTGTGTGTGTGTGTGTGTGTGTGTGTGTGTGTATATATATATATATATATATATATATATATATATATAACAAATACAAAATTGTTATTTGTTATTTGAGGTTGTCCAAAACTGATGTATCACCAAAATTTGTATTTTTCATACCTGATTTAAATGACTTTAAAATCATAAGTAATTGACTACAAGATTATATATATGTGTGTGTCTATTTATGTTTATGGAAATAGACTGTGTATATATGTACATCACTATATGTATGTAGGCTTATAAATATACATGTGAATATATCCAATGCTAACTCTTAGACTTTCAAAATCATTTAAGTTAATGAGAAAATCCATGAGGTTATATTCAGATATGGCTAGCTGCTTAAATTCTATTCACTATGTTATTTTCTTGATATTAAGACGTCATTAAATTTAATAGTCATTTTCAACTGTACAGAAGAAAATACATGTTAAACATTCATACTGATATTAAGTACTATACCAATTTCAGAAATATTAAAATGTGAAAAATATGACTTGGTTTGAAAAAGTGTAATTATGGGGTTAGGTATTTTAAAATAAGGCACATTTAAAAAAAAGGAAAAAGAAACTTGAAAGAAAATATGTATGAATTTTTAAATGAATAATGAGAGCTAACTGATATGGTACAAATTAGGACTTGCACTCTGGATACCAGCAGCCTATAGATATTAAATCAAGCAAGAAATTGTGCGTGTGTGCTGCACACATACACATATAATAAATATGTCATGGTTTATTATTTTTCATAAATTGTCACCATAGAAAGTACAAACTATTCACAGCAGAGTTACTTCCAAGTAAGCCAGGAAACAGAAGTTTCCATGACAAATAAGAACAACTATATAAAACCCTACAGATATATGACCCATAACACATTACAGAGCATTGATTTCCCAGAGGCTAATGTAAAACTCATGTACCAAGTAACAGTTCTATTTTCATATTCTCCTATAACTCAAATCCATTCATGCTGCACAATTACTTTTGCATAATAATATATTTTAGTTATCTGAGTATTTCATCAGGAACAGCAGGAATTCTTATTTTAAAATGAGCATCTTTATGATGTTTCAATCTTCTTGACCATTTTTTAAAGTGTACAATGTCTTCAAAATTTTGTATGCTTCAAAATTTTTTTCAAAAAATTTTTAAATCCACATAAATAGGAAGAATTGCTGAGGAATTTAATTTGATGAATTAGATTACATTTCTGTCTCCAAGGACTAAACCCTACACATTTGATACATTGAAATGTTCATATTAAAAATAGGCAATAATCTCAAAACAAGTGAATTTTTTTGTTTAAGAGAAAACAACAAAATAATGGCTCAACTGACTTTTACTGGAGAAAAAAAATAAATGGATAGAAGGGTAGGATGGAAAGAGAACTGGCCAAGAGGGTTCTTATGCATGGAGAAAAGGATAAACAACAGTTAACTAACAAAAGAACAAAAACTAGACATTTTTTTTTTCTTAGCTTTAGGCTCTAATCTCATCTGAGATCAGAAAGGAATTTAGTCTGATATGCTCAAACAGAAATATATTTTATCCATTCACAAAACAAGAATGGCAGAAGTTTTTATCCAAGGCAGTTCAACAACATGAATTAGTAGCTAGGATATTAAACAGAGATCGGAGCTGGTTTCCTCAATTCTGTCTACTTCTTAGAACAAGTTTTTATTTCACTGAAAAAAATGGAAATAATCTCTAGATTTTGACATCTAATCACATTTCAGACTACACTTTGTCTGCAACATGTATGTTTCCCTTCTGCTCACAGTGGTCACTCTGAATTTTTTCTCGGATCTTTCCGATTTGCTTTCTTTCATTAAGCTGCAATTTGCAAAGGAGTCCCTTCCTCAGTTTTATCACTAGTTTCTTCAAACTAGCACCATTTTCGTTGTTTTTTACACCTTCATAGGAGCCCTTAGATTCTTCCTAGAAGTTCCCAAAGCCTAAATTTTAGATATACGGACTAAACTACAGACATTAATGTTTCAAAAAATGTTCACAGTGAAACAGATATTAAGAAATTATTGAGTAAGAAGAGCCAGAATGACTTGCCTGGACAATTCTCTTTCTGCAACGGTCTCAAAATGTGGTGTGTAGATTAACAGCATGGGCATCATATGGGAACTTGTAAGAAATGCAGATTCCAGGCCCTATACCAGACCTACTGAACCAGAAACTCAGGGGAGTGGGGGATTGGAGATAAAGAAGGAAGAGGTGATTTTTACACACGATAAGGTTTAAGAACTACTGTTCTATTGTATTCCAACATGAGACATAACCAATTAACACTTTCCGTAGTTCTCAAACCACAGTTCTACCTAGTGAGGAAAAGCATTTTCTGACTTTTTCAATAAAGCTTGTAGTATTTTCAGAACCATTCAGGCTACTTTTTACCTGATAATTTTAGTTAAGCATTAACCGCTCCATCCCAGGATTTAAAACTGTTGCATTGTACTTAGCAGCAGAGAATAAGGAGCATTAGTAGGATAGCGTGGGGGCACTTGAGTCACAGATTTAACCACAGAGGTAATCAGGTCCATACTCACAGTCAAATCTTGCCCCCAAAGTGGTTTGTCGTTTTATAACTGATTTTTCTCATGTCATTTTTTTCCCCAGATACCTTTATCAATGAATGTGTCAACCTTTCTGGCATACGACCAGCCCACAATAAGTTACTGTGGGGTGCATCATGAACTTCTCTCTCATAAGTCCTTTGAAACGAATGCACAGGAAGATACGATGGAATCACACCTAGAGACTGAGCTGGACCTGAGCACAATCACAACAGCTGGCCAAATCAGTGACCATAAACAGCAGCTGACTTAACTGAGCTAATTGGTAGCCAAGGGTTGCCACAAACTTTGTAACCTCAAGGACAAAATGAGGAAGATTTGTTCATTGTGGACTCTAAAAGCAAAACACAACAAAAATCCCCTGTTAAACAAAAATCCAAGATTTATTCATGAAATAAAGAAGACATGAATTGTTTCAAGTCTACACTTTGTAATTAGCTAAGTTGTGCAGTATTTTTTTGACTTAAACAGAGTATGACCCTGAAAAAAGAAAAAGAATCTTTTTTTCAAAACTCATCCTACCTATCTGTAAAAACTGTACAGAGCTAATGTATTTTTCATATTGTAAAGTTTCAATTATAGAAACAACTGGTATGTACAGTACCATAATTTAATTACATTTTACTTTACAAACTTTACACATTTCAGTTTCTAAAACTTTAAATTAACAAAATATTATTTCTTGTGTTATTCAGAGTTACTCAGTTTTGTAGGGACTGTTTTGTTACTGCTTTTGTGCCCAGAAACCTTGACTCTAAAATTCTGTGCTGTGCGAAACATGCACGATTTTTATCATGCTTACTGCGTAGAATTTTATCTACTTCTTCCAGAAATAATACATTAACCAAAAAGGATTTAATTGTTGAGACTTGTAAGAAGTTCTTCAATTACATAGGCAGGTTTTTCTTATAAATGAAAAAAAAAAATCAAAGATTTTTTTTTTTAACACTTCTCAGACTTAACTGTTGCCTTGAATTACAGCCTAGTTTCTGAGCAGTGAAATGTAATGATAAAGAGGGATATTTTAACAACATATTTCTGAATGAATTGACTCATTATTTCATTCTTTTGAGTAACCCATTGTTAAGGGTAGGGGGAAGCATGGACAAAACATCACTGGAAACAAAGGCCGTAACCACAGCAACAGACTTTGATACACTTAAAAGGTGCAGCTGCCAGTGACAAAGAAAAACTTGTTACATCTCATTATTTTCAGGCCAAGGTGGGAAGGATAGAGCATAATAATTGTACAGTAGCTGATTTTCTCCTAATTAACCTAAAGTGGTTTACCTAAAAATAACCATCAGTCAGTGCAAAATGTGCCTGGTTTTTAAAACAACTTTTCATTTAGAATTGTGAGGCTATATTTGGGAACATCTCAAAGGAAGTATATGAAATTTTTCACTTTGTGCGCTACATCAATTCTCTTCTGGGGAAGAAATCAAAACTTTGAGAGCTCATTCCATCTAGATATCAGCCATGGTGGAGAACTTTATAACTCAAATAAACTGTAAACACCCTTAATATGTTCTAAATTGTTTATATTGCCATCCATAATGAGATTCACCTCTAAATTATCTGGAAAATAACCCAGAGTAATTTGAAGCCACCCCAGATCATATTGATTATGTAACTGTATTATAAAGTAAATTTAAATGAAATTCTGAAAACCAACTTTTCAGAGGATGAAATAATCAACTTGTTTCTGCTGTTTGCTTGACACAGATTATTGTTTGAAACTGTTGTTATTTTATCTCTGGTATTCACACATTCTTTTGTGTGTTTTTAATATAAAACTACAAGTTTCAATTGCTGTTGCACTAGGAGAAATACTTTTTTTATGTTGTCATTTTGTATTCATAACATCAAAAATAGGCTGAGCAAATGTCAATCCAAAAGGGTCAAACACAATCAAAAACAATGAAGAAAAGAATTTGTCAAAAACAGCATCAAACTTTCAATTTATTTCTTCCAAAGAAGTTATAGCTACAAAAGTCTAGTCTTATGCTGATTTTTCATGGCAAATTGAAGAGCAGCTTAAAGAAGAATGAACTGAAAAAATGTACAACAAAATTTTGTTGGAAAATATACACTCAGAAAAAAAATTGGAAGAAGCAAACACTCTTAATAATTTAAGTGAAACTTAATGTCTATCAACTATGTAGCAAGCCAGATTTTGTAACATATTTTGCATAAATTGTCTGCTATTCAAAATTTTTTGTCATGTTACATCTAATCTTAATGTTTATTTTTTTCTGATTTCTAATTTCTTTGCAATATATCATTGTCAGTATTCTTAATCCTCTACATTGAGGTTTTGTTTTGCACAGTTAGCAAATTTATAGAGGATTAATTATAAGCCCTTATTGTGGGCCTGAAATTGGATGCAAAATTTTATTTATTATCTAAACCAAAATGTCATTTGCAATTTTTTTCTTCTTAGAAGTTGTCCTTGCAAAGATTCAAACATTTTTTAATTCACATAAATAAGCATTTTATATCTATTTCCAGACATTTTCAAATTGATATATAATTTTTAGAAATACAAGGTTCCACGGAGCTTCACAAATATGTGCTCTTAACATCCTGAAGCAAACTTTCTTTCTTAAACATTTTAAATTCATCTAAAGTAAATAACTATAAGTAGAAGCAGTCATCTTAGAACCACAGCTCTGTGCATCCGAAGACTTAATACAGTAAGAACCAAATAAACTAAGAATTTTGAATTTCTCATATTTTAAATTCAACCCAAAGGATCTTTTGCAAGAAAAAAAAAAAAAAAACAGAAGATGATGATTCTGGTTTATTTGTTTGCATAATTTTTATTCTGCCATGTTCAGGGTCTTGTGGGTTGGTGAAAAAGGAAGTGAAAACCTATTAGAAGAAACTATGTCTGGAATCTTTATCATACATTTGCAATTTATATATTTGTGTCTAAAATCCTTAATTATAACCTATCTTTTTCAGCATTCATGAATCTCTGATTTCCTCTTTCTAACCACCCTGCCCCCAGGTCTCCCTGGCTGTCTATTGCTCATTCATTTAAATAACAGGAATGTTGATGTGTTTGGAGTTGAAAAGTGCCGTTTGACCCAGCATGGTTACACTATAGCAGTAGCTGCAACAAATGATACATTTGTGCAGTGTTTTGAGGTTTACAAACCACATTTTACATAAATTATTTCATTTTGTCTTCAAAACCACCCTATGAAGACACATTAATCTCAGAGAAGTAGTGACTTACCCAAGAACACAAGGCTAATAATTGGTGGAACTGAACCATTCTCAAAGTTCAGAGCCTTTTAGTTTTTCCACTGTATTAAAAGCCTCCTCTCCGATCAGAGCCAGAGAATTTCCAGAGATAATGAACAGAATGAAAAAAGAAAAAAGTTTGTCATGTTGTTTAATCCCAATTTAACTCAGTTCTTCTATCTGTATAATATATGAGCTAAATGAACTCTTTCTGTGTGCTACTCTGGGCTCTCACATTAAAACTCTTTGTTCAAAAAATACAGGAAGTCATAGATTTCTTAACATATTATATCATTTGTAAATGTGAAGATGAGCTGCTTCCAAGAAGTGGATATATGTAGACCCAAGGTACGGACATAAAATGAAGAAACACAAGGAAAGAAACCAAAGACCATCTAAATTGAGATTGTGTGGGTTATAAAACAGATCCACAGTACGAGGTTCAACACATGTTCAACACATGTTCAACGGAACACATGCTCAATTCAGAGCTAATTGGGAAGACCTTTATAATTTTTCTTTTTTTTTTCCTTTATTTTGTCTCAGCGAGAGTACTTCTTAAATTGTGAATTTTTTTTAAATTCTGCATTCTTATACCGTTCTTAATAGAGAATAATTTTCTCTATTCCTCCTACTAAAAATGAAATGTAATTTATCCAAACTGATGTATAGATGCCAAAACATATGGTGACAGGCAAACAAAATTTTATTGATCTCATTTTTATCAAGTTTATCTATCCCTACTCCCTCCTGAATGTTCCAGAAAATCATAAAATGACACAGATTTTAATGTAAATTACATTTTTAGGAGGAAAGAAAACTTGTCTACATTCAACATTCAAGACAAATTTCATAATCCTATTTGAAATCATATCAGGCTCCACAAAGTCCTTAGAAATAGCAATATCTCTTTGCAAAAATATTTTCTAAAATAAAACCTCTGTATATGGGAGTAAAGACATATATTTCATTTTGTCCGCTTCTGACTAGAAGACAGATACCATCTCTCAAACTAAACATTCAAAATAAGAATCTGAAAGCATAATGATGCGAACTATTAGTATGCTAAAAGAAAGAAAACCAGATGTATGGGGTAGATGGCAGCACACGAAGGAAAAAGTGGTGGGACTGGGAGAAATCTGGCCTCGGGAGAAAGGGTGAGAAATCTCTAAAGCAGATACAGTAATATCTTATACTGACATACCTCTTAATGGTTTAACCATGGGTAATAGTATAACAACTTCACATAAAAAGTGAAAAAACACGTAAAAAGTCCCAAGGTCTAGATGGATTGGTTATGCAGTAAGAACACAGATGCACTGGTATTTCAGTAAGAGCTTCTAACTATTGCTATGACCTTCTCAATGCACCACAACTGTCCCTAACTAGAGAGGTACCAAGGGCAGGGAATCCAGGATCTGTGCTTTTCAAAACTCTGACATACCCACAAGGGTAGAGTAGACTGACAATCAACAATCGCGCTTCGTTTTACTATCAACTCTAATGGAGAAGAAACACTGAAAAATATATCAAAGTAGTGATGGGTTATTTTTAAAGTTCTCTCATGACTTGTATTATGATTTTATTGTCAGACAGGAGGCTGCTTATGTTCAACATTTTCTAATTCAGGGTAAAATTTATGTTTTTAAAAGTCTATAGCTGATTATTTACCTTTCTTTTAAGAACAGTGACCTGAAAGCAACAGAGTGCCTCAGCTGTCTAGGATTTAGAAAACTCTTGAGTTTCTTCCTCTTCTTTCCTGAACATTTATAGATTTCATTTTATATGTGTATCTTACTGAAAAGCTAAGTGAAAATAGGTTTTGTATAAATCAAATAATATTTCAAATGCATCAAGGGACCTTGTGATAAAGGATCCTTGAAGTAAATCCTTTTTTGTTTTCTAATCTGAAACACTGTCCACTAATTTATATTTTGTAAGCTGACTGCAGTATATCTTGTGTTACATAATGCAGCACACTGTACTGTATGGCCTTGAAGGTTCTGTGATGCAGTCTTTGCCTCAGGCTGTATAAAATGAAGGACTGACACTAGGTTTTGAGCAAGTGTATAGACACTGTAGTGTGATCATTTTCAGTCATTTTCACTTATTGAGTTTACCTGGATTCATGTGAAAATCCAGGATTTTCATGGATGGATAAAGTTGACAGTTATTATTTTTTTTTCTATTTATTGGTTTAAACTTGTGCTACCTATCATATCTTCAGTTACTATTAAGAGAAAATCCCTGGGCACCTGGCTGGCTTAGTCAGTAGAGCATGACACTCTTGATCTTGGGGTTGTGAGTTCAAGCCCCACATTGGATGTAGAGCCTACTTAAAAAAAAAAAAAAAAAAAAAATCAAATCCTTTGGGTCTGTACTAAATTTACTGAATCAGAATCTCTGGAGCTAATAATCTCTGATGCATGCTAAGTTTTGCAAAATACTCTTCAAATGAATTTACTTTCACTAAATCATTCAATTGCTTTTTATTGTAGTCTAAAATTATTAATTCTTGTGCTTTCTTGTGCCAATGTGATCCTAGTTTGCTAGGCCTGGCTAAACATTTTTCCTGACTGGAGGAATGCGAAACAAAGAACAACTATACATAAAATGGTCGGGTTGTTTCTTGACAGATTGTGTTGTTTATAAATTTTGTTCCCCATTAGTTTTTTCAACA